ATATATATATATATATATATATAACACAATAGCACGAATTATTTTTAATCTAATTAATTTTATAATATATATATATGTGTAGATTTTAGAATTATTTATCATATATTTATATTTTATAAAATATTTTCTTATTAGTTTATATGTTTAGGTTAAAAATATCTCTCCTGTTTTTTTTTTTATATTTTTTATTCTTGATATTATATAAAAATATTTAAACAAACAATTAACATAAAAAAAAAGAAAAAAAAACACAGGTTGTGATTGAGAATAGTTAGTTTGAAAATAATTATTTATAATTATTATTATTTTTTTTTTTTTTTTTTAATTACAAACTTACTCATTTGTCTTTCTCATCAAAGACGTTTTACAATATTCCTATAAAAATATGTTAATTTGTAAGTAATAATATTTTGAATAATGATTTATTAAAAAAGAAAACAGATATTTAGAGGACGAATCAAGGATGAATCGCCAATAGGTATTATTGATAATAATTACAAAAAACAAAAAACAAAAAAAAAAGAAGGAAAAAAAGATGGCAGAAAAAATATTTAATCATCTTTTAATGATAGTTTTTTTTTTTTTTTTTTTAAATCTATGTTTCATTTTACGGTGCATCACATCACCAGAATCACCGAGCATTACTAAATAATATCATCAATCATTATCAGAGTGTCTACCATTTTTATTTCTTTTTTTTTTCTTTTTTTTTTTTTGTTATTGTTAATCGAACGATAAGAAAAACATTTTTCTTTTTTACAAAACAACGATGAAAAAAATAATTGCAATAAAATTTGGAGTATCATTGAATCGATAATTTTTTTAGATAGAAATAAAATAATATTCATAAATTATTAATAATAATTTTGTTTAAAATATTAATAATAATTAATATAAAATTGTTCTTTAAATTAATTTTCTTTAAATTAAATTATTCGTTTTTTATTTTTTTTTTTTTTATTTATTTACATTAAATTAATCTTCTTTTTTTTTCTTTTATTCATTTAAATTAAATTAATTAAATTAATCTTTTTTTCTTCTTTTATTTATTTAAATTAAATTAATCGTTTTTTTTTCTTTTATTCATTTAAATTAAATTAATCTTTTTTTCTTCTTTTATTTATTTAAATTAAATTAAATAAATGAATCTTTTTTTTCTTTTATTTATTCATTTAAATTAAATTAACCTTTTTTTTTCTTTTATTGAATTAAATTAAATTAATCTTTTTCTTTTCTTTTATTTCTTTAAATTAAATAAATCTTTCTTTGTCTTTTATTTATTTAATTTAATAAACAATATTTTTTAAATTTCCTTGATCGTATTAAAAAAAAAATTTACAACTCAAGAAATAATACTTTTTCTAATTTATTCCATTGGTAGACATTCTGACGTACTTGACAATAAAGATCGTCGATTAAACTAATCGGAGAACTAAACGATTTAATAAACAAACATATTAAAAAAAAAAATATGTATATATATATATATGTGTGTGTATGTATACGTAAACAATGTGAACATATGTTGGAAACAAAAAGAAAGTGAAGAATTTTTTTCTAATAATTCAGTTCCAATTAGTAGAAAAACGTATATCAGAATAAAAATTTAGTTTTATTTATATTATTATTATTATTATTATTAGATTTTATGATTAATATGATAATTTTTAATATTATGATAATTTTTTAATTTTATTTTGACGATGATAATCTTCGTCATGTTGTGTGTATGACTTGTACAAGAAAATCCTGCAAAGTGTGTCCTGCAGGATACATTTGAGATTAATTATACGATATAAGATAGCTTAGGATCCAATGATGACTATTATTATGATTATTATGATAAGTATGATTATGATAAGAGAGAGAGAGAGAGAGAGAGAGAGAGAGAGAGAGAAAAATACAACTAAATAAAACAAAGCATACTCATAAGGATAAGCGAACTGTGACAATATATTATATTGTATAAAGAAGATGCATTATTTATTTCACTTTTCTATATACAGGTTGATCCAAAAATTGTTAAATTAATTTTTCAAATGTAT